TCAAATTTTGTTTCTGGGTTTAAGTGGAAAAGAATGTGCCCAACTGAAAATGATTGCGGGAGAGTTAACATTTTTAGAAATGGCCTAGCTGTGCTATGCAGAAAATTGATCAAGAGATTAAATTGACTTAATGGAGTCACTCTGGCAAATATTATCTGGTTGGAAAGTCCATCTAAGTTGATATATTTCTAATTAAAATTGTTAAATTCAAAATGTTCTCAGAGCAAAAAGATCAGGAGAAATTGTTCTCAAAGTCAAAAAGGAAGGATCAACATGCTGAGGTCAAAATGCCCTGTAACAGGGCATCTGTGGACACCATGCTAGGTCACATCAGTTTGCCTTTTAACTTCTAAAAGAAAGAACTAAGTGATTCCACAGAAGTAAGCCAGTTGTACAAGGATATATGAATCATCCAAGCACCTGGAATATTAGCAAAAACAGAGTCAAGGAAAGAGGGGAAATGACCTCCATAAAATGATTACCACAGCAGAATTTATCCCGAGGACCATTGTGAAGAACAAATGAGAAAATCCCTCCAAGGTCCTCAGCTCTGGGCACAGCAGGAGCACAATAGTAGCTATGGGGGATGCCAGAAACGGCAGGAGGGCTGGAGAAACTGAGGAAGAGTTGCACATTGGGCTAGCCCTTTGGACCCAACTCATTCCTTGCATCTTCCAAATTCAGTTCTGACCAGTTCTGTTCACTTTGCAGGGCTCACACTGGTGTGCACACGTGCCCTTGAGCCTTGTTCTGCCTCTGTCTCTCTCGCCCTCACCTGGAAAATATTTATGTGTCCTTCAGAACCCAAACTAATGTCATTCCCTCTATGAATTTTCTATTGGCTCTCCTGCCAAGCTCCCAGAGCCTTTTATCCATATTTTATCACCTCACATTATATCAGAGTTTGTTGCTATTTCCCCCATTACATAAAGAGAAGCTGATTTTCTTCTGGGCTTCTGAGCTCCTGATGCCCAGAAGACACCCAGCAAATGTTTTGGGGAGCCAACTTTACTAATAATTCCCAAACTGGTCTAAATCTTTCCTCTGGAAAGATTCCTTCATGCAATCTAGCCCGTTTTGCAAACAGAATTAAATTGTATTTTCTTTGCCTAGAAACACTTAAAGTTGGCAAGAGAGGCTTTGGTGAAATGCCAATTTAATGCTAAGAGAAGGTTCTGGAACATTTCACCTGCAAAGGGTTATGACTGGTGATTTTCTAAGAAATCTTCTTAAACAACAGAGATCTTATTACTCACAGTCAAGGAGATTCAGGCATTGTCCCCCTTGACAGCCACAGAAGCCCTGGGCTGTTACACCACATTAGCTTTCGGACTGATTTGATGCTGGAGATAGATTCTGCTCCAATTCTCACTTGTGGCAGGGTAACATTCTGAGATTTTAACATGTTGAGGAATTACAACAATAAAGGTCCTTTTATTCTTTTGATTTTGATATTCTCTCTCTGTCTCTGTCTCTCTCTCTGTCTCTGCCTCTGTCTCTCTCTCTGTCTCTGCCTCTGTCTCTCTCTGTGTCTCTCTCTCAGTCTCTGTCTCTCTCTCTCTGTCTCTCTCTCTCTCTCTCTCTGCATCCAAGCCTCTATTTTCTCTTTCTTCAAAGCATTTTCAAAGTCAACATTTGTGAGTGACAGCATCTCTCATTGCCATCTTTTATAAAAACTTAGGATCACCAAGAAAATAATGCTGAAAGTGATGCCAAGCTTCCTAGAGGATGATGGGAGACTGGCACATGCTCAAAGAGCAAAATAGGATTTCCAGTGAGAGAGTTAACACAGTTGTTAACCCACAGCCCAACAAAACTATCAGGACTTCGGAGAATGACTGTAGTGATCCCAGCACACCAGACCTTCAGTCCCAGCGAAAATGTGTATCCCTAGACATGGAGTAATACCTGAGTAATACCAGTACTAGGTACCAAGTAATTTATTAGTTAAAATAAATTAAAACAAGATGAGAACGTACATCCCAAAATATTTCATTTCACTAGGGGAGCAGAATTGCATGCATGTACATGTATACACACATGTACAAACAGACAGTACAGAGTGTTTACCAGCTGACCAGCAGAGGACTCAGTGTGAAGTTCATTAAAAAAAAAAACTGACATTTCCTGCATACCCTGCATGTTGGCTATGAACACATGGTTATGTCATTAGAAGACTTTGATGGTGAGTAAAGACACCGATGGGGAACCTGACATCTTCCCCTGGAATACTCCCAGGACATTCTCTCTCTGAAGAAACTTCCCTACAACATCTCAAGGCTTGGAAACTGGGGAATCAAAACCCAAGCTCACTTGAGCATGTTGCAGAAGGAATCCAGTCTGCATAATGTTCCTTCAATGCATGTGTCTGAGGCTAACCGTTGGTATTGAATAACAAACTGGGGAAGTCTATTTCTCCCACTCTCGGTAACCCTTGGTTATTTACAGTTCTCTGTGTAGGGCCGAGGTCTCATGGACTTCCTCTGTCCACTTCGGCATGTCTACTGTTGTCCTTGTTCAGATCAGGGTTAAGGAGTCATGTTGGTGAGACTTTATGGGAGTAGCTGCTGGCATTCCTAGGAGACACAGTCGCACAGCTTGATCTCTGGCTCTTGCAATCTTTCCCTCCTCTTACGAAGTCTTCCCAGAGTCATCGGTACAGGAATTCTTTATAAATGTATCCATTAAAACCGAGCTCCGCAACTCTGTATTTTGAGCAGTTGTGTTTTTCTGTATTGGTCTCCAACTGTTGCAGAAAGAACTTTCCTGGAGGAGGAGTGAATACTGCACTTATTTGTGAGGAGAAAGACGAATGTTTAGATTGTTGCCAGGGATTATATTGGCTTAGTAAGAAGTAGTTGTAGGTTCTTCTCCAAGATCCATGACTTCACTGGCCCTGGGTACTTGGCTAGGTTTCCAGTACCAGGCAAGACCCCCTTGGTCTTAAGTCCATTTAGAGAGCTGCAGGTCCAAGGGATGCATGTCACCAGCGTGTCATCTTCACATGGCATCATTGTTGTGGTACACAGGTGTCATAGATGTGTAAGACTGGCCAACTCTTTTTTACAAGTAGAATAGTAAGGTTTCAAACTTCTGATGATTTCATAGACTGATGTAATTTATTTAGCTAACAAATAGGTATCTGATGCTAACTAGGCATTGTGCTAGGCTCTGCTGATGCCAGGGGAAGTGTGTGTGTGTGTGTGTTTGTGTGTGTGTGTGTGTGTGTGCATCCTGTCCAATATAGATAGATAGATAGATAGATAGATAGATAGATAGATAGATAGATAGATAGATACATAGATAGATACATAGATACATAGATAGATACATAGATAGATACATAGATAGAAAGAATATGTCCTGCTCTTTCCCATTGCCTGCATATTCAAAACTGTAGTTTGGAGCTGGTAGCTAGATCGTTGGAAGCTTTGCACCATTGCATTTGCAACAACAAAGTTCTATATGTTATAAAAGCCTCACATGCCAAAGCAATGTGCCAGCAAACTCCTCTGAAGTAGGTCACTCTAAAACCCCCATAAAAGACACTTGTAGCCATCTTAGTACATGACTTTTTCTCAAAGATATTGACATGTGAATTGGAATAAACCAGACCAGACAACTCAGAATATGAGGATTGGCCAGACATGGGAAGATATGGATAGAACAAGGTCCCAGTTTGTGTTCCTGGTCTCTACCTCAGAGACTGTCATTTAACTTCTCTCTCTGTGGCCTCATCGGGAGTTTGTAGAGACCGCTAGGAATTCAAGCTGTAGTCTGGTAACTTTTAACAGTAGCAAGATGGCCCTAGCAGCCCCTGGAAGATTTCCAGAACAGCAACACGCAGGCGTCAGAGACATTTGGGTCGGGCCCCGGCAGAACAATTTATCAAATTTCCTGCATGCCTCTAAAATGTGCTAGAGCTTGTGAAACACTGTTCATATAGCACCTCTCCAGAAGCCTGAGAATGATTTTTGGTTCTTCATGCTTGTGTTATACCAGACACCTCCAGTTAAACCTGTCTAGTCTACTTCAAAATCTCCCATGTCTTCCTCTCCTCTGTGTCACTAGCCTAGAGCAAGTGGCAATGGTTTCTTTCCTGAGGTATTATGACATCATCTCAAAGCAGATGTTCCTTTTCTAGGCAGTATGTAAGATAATGGGTCTCCCTTGGATGCTGCCATCATGTACAGCATCACATCTGGCTCACATTCACCCCCACACACACACACACACCTTACCTTCTCTTGTTATTGTTCTTGCTAGTACCATTCTCTCTTCCTGAGCAGTCCAGCATTAACTAGATCTTCCCGAAGTAGCCACATGCAAAAGCCTGGCTGCTGTTGAGGGTTACTAAGTGAGTGACAGACACAGCTGGACACCTGAGTTCTTTAGAAACTACACCAAGGGATAAAATGTGTAACAAAAGATCAGGGGTACGACTTACTCAATAAGAAAAGGCACCTGACGCCAAGCCTTATGACCTAAATTCAATCCCTGACTACCACGTGGTGGAATGAGAGAACCGACTCTAACAAATTGTCCTCTGATCTCCACATGTGCACAGTGATGTGTGTGTACACATGCATATACACACAATAAATAAGTTAAATAAATAAACAGATAAAGAAAATAATAGTAATAATGAAATGTTAAATGTATAACCCGGAATCACCGTCTGACGTGCTCACCCCCTCCCACTCTGCCTGTCTAGAAGGATGCTTTCAAGGAACCACCCCTAAGCTACCATTCACGTAGCGGTTACATCAGTAATGATGCCGGTGGAAGATCCTTAGGGACTTGCACTAGGGTAAAGCTACCCAGACACATTTTCCTCACACAGAATATTCTCAAAACATAAATGCAATCTTGTCTCTCCTCTCCCCTACTTAAAGCTTTAAATGCCTTACCATGTGTCCTGGACCATTTTCTTTTACTATAAGATAATACCACAGACTTTAATTTATGAGCAGAAAGATCCACTTCTGATGGTTCTCATGAGTACGGTGTTAGCATTCGGTAAGGGTCTTCTCCATGTGTTGAAGGAGCAAGCAAGCACACATGAGTCCGAGGGAGGAAATGAGGGTCATTCCTTCTGACAGGAACCCACGCTGGGGGTGAAGACTTTAATACAGAAACACTCTCATGACCTGTTCACCTCTTTAAGGTCTCATCTTTTAAAACTGTCCCAATGTCAGTCACATTTCAACAGGAGTTTTGAGGGGTACCCAGAGGAACAGCCAACTCCTTAGCAGGGTTTGACCCCCTGACGACTCCCTTGATAACTCGCCAATCAAAATCACGTGATGATTCAGTTACTCAGACCCACAGAGACATGCCACCCAGGTCTTTGTGAAACTTGTTCACTCACCAGAAAATGCTTTCCCCACTGGTCACATGATAGCTCCAGTTTTCTCTCTAATATTACTGACCACATTATCCAAGATGGCACCCCTTTCATCTCCCCAAATCATTCTTTCTTTTCATCTTTTTCACTTTATTTCCATATGGTTATTCTTAATTGTCTTTACAGCACTTGCCATAACTTGCAATTATCTCACTTGTCTGGTGTGTTTATTTCTCTGTGTCTCATTCTCTCTTCTCTTCTTCCTCTCCTTCCTTTCTTCCCTCTTTCCCCGCGTAGACTGAAAGCTCTGTAGAGTCAATGATAACCTTTGTTTTAAGTACATGCACACAATAAAAGTGTACTAAGAGTGTTAATTGCATCTTCTATTGCCAAACAGGGGAAACAGACGTTGGAGCGCAGGTGAAAGGAGCCCTTGTGCACAGTAGAGGGAGTGCACGCTGGTAAACTTGCCATGGGCTCCAAAGGAAACTGAAAGCAGTGCTGCCACACAGCCCCACCGTTCCTCTTCTGCGTGAACAGTTCTGCCCTCTTCCCAAAGCTGGCTTTCCTCCACACTCATTACAGTGTCTTTCACACAATCTGCGTGACAGAAATTACATAAATGTCCATCTATAGCTAAATGAATAAAGACAATATTATGTGCATATAAACAGTGAAATTACTCAGCTTTTTAAAACAACGCTGGGAGGCTACGGCCATACCACCCTGAACGCGCCCGATCTCGTCTGATCTCGGAAGCTAAGCAGGGTCAGGCCTGGTTAGTACTTGGATGGGAGACCGCCTGGGAATACCGGGTGCTGTAGGCTTTATAAATAAATAAATAAATAAATAAATAAATAAATAAATAAATAAGAAATAAATAAAAGAAAAAAAATAAAACAACGCTGGGAGCCAGGCAATAGTGGCGCACGCCTTTAATTCCAGCACTCTAGAGGTAGAGACAAGCAGATCTCTGTGAGTTCGAGGCCAGCCGGTCTACAGAACTAGTTCCAGAACAGCCAGGACTACACAAAGAGAAGTCCTGTTCAAAATACCCCCCCCCCCAAAAAAAATTCTTGGACTAAAAGAGATGGCACAGCAGTTAAGAGAACTTGACTGGAGTCCTACAATCTCCTTTAATAATACACGAATTGGAAGGCCTCCTGCTAGGCTCCACCTATTAAAGGTCCCACTTCCTCCCAGTAGTAACACTTTGGGACCAAGACTTCAAACTGCAAGCTTTGGGTGTTCTTGCCATCCAATCCATTTAACAGATACAAATTCTAGTAACACAAGTTAACTCCTGGCCTCTTCATGTCTACAGCTACAGCGTTGTTCTGGACACTTGCAATTTTGTCAAGAGGAAAAAGTTCAAGTTAAGATGTTCTTACCAGGGTCACAACCCAGAGGTCAAGAGTCTTTGTGCTGTACATTTTAATGAGAATCCTACATATAAACTTCTTTAATTCCTATATTATACATCAGGTGTCTATTTAATACATTAGGTCTTTATTAACTTGTTATTTATTGTCCATTTAAATTTTGATGAACAAGTTCTTATGCCAAAAGTTGGCTTTTTAAAAATTGGGTCATTGGCTTTTGCTCAACTTTAAGTCATTGACTAATAATCACTATATATTGTTAAACAGTTGTAACCAATAAATAATAACTTTTAAAAAAAAGATGTTCTTACCATAATAAAAATAAGAAATAAGCACATCATAACTAATTACATATTTTTGAAATACCATCAATCACAAACCCCAGAAAAATTATATTTGTTTCTTTACCTGTTTGTTTGTCTGCATTTGCTTTGGTTGCCTCCTCGGATCTTCTCAACTTTGGAAACATAGTTTTCTATGGAGCAATAGAAAATATTACTCATATTTTCCCTTATATGGATTGATTAAAGTTCATTTTTATTTGAAGCAGGAAAGAAGGCTCAGTCAGTAATGTGTTTGCTGCACAAGCCTGAAGAGCTGAGTTTGGATCACCTGCATCCGTGTGAAGCTAGGCAGTTTGTGTGTATGTGTGTGTGTGTGTGTGAGAGAGAGAGAGAGAGAGAGAGAGAGAGAGAGAGAGAGAGAGAGAGAGAGAGATCCCACCACTGGAAAAGACAGATTCTGTCATTTTAGATCTCTGTTGAGAGTTCTCTGTTTAGGTCTATACCCCATTTTAGGACACTTAAGGAAATGCTCAACATCCTTAGTCATCAGAGAAATGCAAATCAAAACAGCTGAGATTCCATCTTACACCTGTAAGAATGGCCAAGATGAAAACCACTGGTGACAACTTCTGCTGGAGAGGATGTGGGGTAAAGAGAACACTCCCACATTGCTGGGGTGAGTGCAAACTGGTACAGCCCCTTTGTTTATCAGTATGGTGATTTCTTAGAAAATTAGGAAACAACCTTCCTCAAGATCCAGCAATACCACTTTTGGGTATATACCCAAAGGATGCTCACAAGGACATGTGCTCAACTGTGATCATAGCAGCATTGTTTGTCATAGCCAGAACCTGGAAACAATCTAAATACCCCTCTATTGAAGAATGGATAAGGGAAATGTGGTACATTTACACAATGGAGTACTACACAGCAGAAACAATAATGACATATTGAAATTTGCAGGCAAATGGATGGATCTAGAAAACATCATAGTGAGTAAGGTAACTTAGACCCAGAAAGACAAATATCATATGTACTCACTCATAAGCGACTTTTAGATATAAAGCAAAGTAAACCAGCCTACAATTCACAATCCCAGAGAACCTGGACATAAATGAGGACCCTAAAAGAGACATACATGGATCTAATCTACATTGGAAGTAGAAAAAGACAAGGTCTCCTGAGTAAATTGGGAGCATGGGGACCATGGAAGAGGACTGAAGGGGAAGGTAGAGGAAGGGAGGGGAGCGGAGAAAAATGTATAGTTCAATAAAATCAATTTTAAAAAAAGAAAAGAATTTTTTTTAAAAAGAGACAGATTCCTGGAGCTCACTGGCCATACAGTCTGATCCAACTGTGGCTCAGGGTTCAGTGAGAGACCCTATCTTAAAAAACAAAATGGACAATTGAGGAAGACATCAGATACTGATTTCTGTCCTCACATGCATGGGTAAACATGAACATGCACCACGTGCATGCACACACACACACTATCAGATACATATACCACACGCATACAAATACAAACACACTTTTCTACATTTATGTAGAGAGTGTGTGTGTGTGCGTGTGTGTTTGTGTGTGTGTATGTGTGTGTCCATGTGTGCTCACAGCACACTTGTGGAGGTCAGAGGTCTGAACACAACCTGTGGGAAGCCGTTGTCTCCTTTCTACCGTGTGGGTCCTGAGAAGTGAACTCAGTTTATGAGGCCTGCCTGGGAGAAAAGCTTCTACCCGCTAAGTCGTTTCACTGGACCTGGTTTAGTTTGATTGTTTATTGAAGTTTCATAATTTATAATTGGCAATGTCAAGTGCTTGTTTTAAATGTTTGTGAGTCAGAAACCCTGTTAAATTCCATCAATATGTGAGCTGCGGCACTTGGAAGACTTCCAGAAACAGCTTTGGGCTGGCGCGTTGTAAACTCTCCCTCTCACCCACCTCCATGTTCTGGTGCTGGATGGTGAAGGATGTATCCCCTGTCCTGTTGGGTCATATCACCATACAGATCACCACAGAAGCAAATAGGGAAGTCATTTCCCTCATGGGATGCCTGGTGGTGATTGATCTGCACACATAAGTGACTGCAAACCACTCAGTAGGGCCAAACTAGAAGACATCTAAAACCCAATTCCACTCAGCTACGAAGTCAGCCTGTGCTTTCTTCAGTGTTATTCAGTATTAAGGTAATAGCATGGAGGATATGGACAAGTCAAGGGGTAGAGAGATGTCACTCTTCAAAATATTCCACTTCTATATACTTTGAGAAGGGTCCAGAGTTGGGAACATTGGAGTTTAAGCATCATCTTTGTGTGTCTAGATCAAAGAATAAATACAAGATTTGTTTAAAGTGAAATCTTCTTTCCTAGTCTGATGTCCAGTGTTTTTATTGCCCTTTGTTTTTGTTTTTCCAACAACAACTGACTCTCCAGACAATGAGACGTTGCTCAGTAGGACCTGGAATGAGCGTGTGAACTAGACACGGGCTATCTAAGAGCACCTCCTTTTCCTTGCTGCAGGGACTGTTCAAGGTCAGATACATAATATTAGGAAGGTCATTTAGAGCTTTCTGTGGCATTAGACATGGATCTAGAAGGATGCTGTGCTTGTTGCCATAGGGACTCAATCTTATAGATTTGATGATGTCTCTACTCCATTTGAGATAAAATTTGTAGTTTGGGTTTATTTTCTTTCTCTGTACTTGAAGCCTTTTCCTAGACATGAAGATAGGAGCAAATTGTACTTCTTTGGAGGAATGGGAACTATGGTTTAACAAGGTATCCAAACTTGCCTAACGCTCCTCACTCCACCCACAGGCAACTAGGAAGACTTGGTCCTCAGTCTCATATTAGACTATGCTCCAATCCAAGCAACATCAAGAAGGTGTAAAGCATGGTGCTGGACCCTTTGCAGCATCCTCACACTCCCCATGGGGTGGTTCCTCCTGTCACTTTTATTTTCTCTTAAAAAGCTTAATAATTTTGTAATATAACACACATATAAGATTTTTTTCCCTAAGAGAAGGTTCAGAATTATACTCCTTGGCCATTTTTCCTGTAATATGATTTGGACTTCTTACATCATTGTGTTTGTTTTGCATCACTGTGATAAGGACTTGAGATGAGTCACTCCCACTGGAGGAAGCTTCAGTGGAGCTCATGTTTTCAGAGGTTTCCGTCTGTCCTCTGCTCCATTCCTCTAGGCATGAGGTGAGGCAAAGAACCATGAGTGCTGAAAGTGGTGTCAGAGGCTATTCATCTCATGGCAGGAAAGAAGCAGAGAAAGAAGTGGAGGGTATGGAACATGCTCCAGCTAAGCGCCACCTCTCATGTGTCACCACCTCCCATTAACGCCATCATACTAAAACCCATCAATGGAGTAATCTGATCAGGCCATAGCTCCGAAATCCAATCACTTCCTATGAGCCCATCACCTGGCAGCCTATGAGGTACCTTTCCTGCTCATACCATAAACTCATTTAACAAAAACACAAAAAGGGCAAGTTTCAATGTGAGACAAGCCAAAGAGAAACAGATTGGTTTTCTGACCTGGCATGTGGAATGTTCAGAATCAAGGATAATCTCTGGTCATAATTCCACTTAACAAACATAATTTTTATTAAAAAAAAAAAAAAGAAGAAGAAGAAATTTTGAGCCGGGCGATGGTGGCGCACGCCTTTAATCCCAGCACTAGGGAGGCAGAGGCAGGCGGATCTCTGTGAGTTCGAGACCAGCCTGGTCTACAGAGCTAGTTCCAGGACAGGCTCCAAAGCCACAGAGAAACCCTGTCTCGAAAAACCAAAAAAAAAAAAATTGGAACTGGAGAAGAAGGCAAAGAATGTGATAAATGCTTGCCTAGTGGTTACAAGGTCCTGATAATGAGTTTTTTTTTTAAAGCTTGGAGTTCAGCATGGCAGCTCAAGCACCCCACCCTCTTCCACTCCCATCTCCCCAGTGCTTCTTATAAGAGAGAAGATACCGAAAATTATTCTCAGAGATGGTTTTGTCAAGAGGTTGGGGAGATTAAAGATAGCAGAGAGGTGCATTATACATTGGGCAAGTAGAAAAGTCATTAGAAAGTCCAGACTTTAAACAAGTTTAAAACCAAAAGAAGGCTGTGGCGAAGCTCCTTAGCTAAGAACATACCTAGCATGCACGAGATTCTGGGCTCAAGCCTTAGCATCAAATGAAATATTCCATGACCATGATTTAATCCGTGTGTATGTGTGTGTGTGTAAACCTGCGTGCACATATTTGTTGTTTACTGGAGACAATGCCTCACTTTGTAGCCAGGCTGACTTATAACTCACTATATAGTCCAGGTTACCCTAGAACTCACAGTAATTCTCCTGCCTCAGCCTCCCAAGCGTTAGGATTAAAGGAGTGAAACTATGCCCAGCTAACGATTCATTTACCTCTGAAACCTATGCTATGAGGGGTTGTGACTTTATGTCCATAGAAAGACACATAATCCCAGGTCAACCCTTCTGAGAATGAATGGCACTTACATAGTAACAAAAGCTTGGGTTTGTGTTCCACATTTAGTGTCGCTCTATTGAGAAAAACAACTTGAGTGGGCTCGAAGAATGCTACGTGGGTGCTATGCAGGGGACAGGGAAGTGAGAGCATCTGGGTAAAGTGAGAGAGGGGAGCCAACAGAGGCAGAAGGGAAGATGAGAGGGAACACTCATGCCCTCACTTTGTGCAGCTGAGGAGAACGGCACTGAGGAGATGAGGGCGGGGAGTGCAGGACCTGGCTGTGCGCTGGGCTGCTGGGCATTCAAGAGAACGTTAACATGCATCCGACACTGAGAGTAGCGGGAAGGGGTACATGCACCTGAACTAAATCTTCATCTTTCACAGAAAGCAAGACATAAAGATTTCCTGAAGTAGATAAAAGAAAAAAAAATAGGTGTAAGTACATGGCTGAGAATTTGGATAGGAAACAAAAACAAAACAGAACAAGCAAAAACAGAAATGGTTTTAAAAGGCGCTGCCTCCAGAGAGAAGCCTGCAGGTCGGGTAAAGGCTGTGGCTTTTGGTAAGCGCTTCGAAGCTCTGAGACTTGTCGTCGTGTATATCTATTGCTCTGATCAAATTTCTTAATTTTAATAGATAAAATTCTGGAAACAAGTTCTCTGAATCAATGACAATGTGTTGACAATATTTTTGGATGGTGTTAAAGAAGAAGAATG